AAAAAAAAAAAAAAAAAGACAAGGTTCTTTCAACCTTTTCTAACTGTTTCTACAGTAGGGAATACTCAGGATAAATTATTGATATCTTTATTCAACCTTCTTGAAAATCCTGGAAACCATTTGGTATTTGAGACCTTGTATTAGTATTTTAGGGTTGCTCTAACAAAATATCATACTGTATAAACAACAGAAATTGATTTCTTCACATTTGGAGTCTGGAAGTTCAGGATCAGGGTAATTAGGTTTTTTCTGAGATATTTCTCCTTGGTTTGTAGATGGCTGTTTTCTCGCTGTGTCTTCACAGTCTTCCCTCTGTGTATGTCTTAAACCCCTCTTGTTATAAGGCCATCAGTCATATGTTATTAGGGTTTATCCTGATTATCTTATTCTAGTTGCATCTTTTAAGACTCTATCTCCAAATATATTCACATTTTGAGGTACTAGGAATGAAAATTTCAATATAGGAATCTGGGGGATATAATTCAGCCCATAACAGAACTCTAGTTTCAGCTTCCAAAAATACACCACCACTCATCTCCTCCTCTTCTACCTTTTAGTCTTGTGTAGTAAGTTTTCTACACCCTTTGGCTCTCCTTCTCTATCTCTTAAAGACATATGGCTTATGTGTCAAGAACTCATGGAGCAGCTCTAAAGAATATACAGAAATGATGGGCAGGTTTGGGCATGTACCAAACAGAAACTCCCAGAGTATTGTCTGAAAGACACAACTATGTATGTATGTATGTTGTAGGGCTTGAACTCAGGGCCTGGGCACTGTCCCCAAGCCCTTTCACTGAAGGCTCACACTCTACCATTTTGAGTCACAGCACCACTTCTGCTTTTCTGGTGGTTAATTGGAGATAAGAGCGTCAGGGACTTTCTTGCCCTACCTGGCTTTGGACCATGATCCTCACATTTCAGTCTCCCGAGTAGCTAGGATTATAAGAATGAGCCACCAGTGCCCAGTATGACAATGCCTGTTCTCTGCCCAGGTGTATTAACATTTGGTGAACATGGTTAAATCTACTGTAAGTGGTCTCTGTAATGTTTCCTAAGTCATCTTGTTTTTTTTTCCTTGTAGCTTTCTCATCATGACTTGCCTTGGCTAGGTTTTGTGTGTGTATGTGTGTGTGTGTGTGTGTGTATGTGTATGCCTGCTGGTACTGGATTTGAACTCAAGGCTTTTGGCTGTTGCTGGTTAACTGGAGATAAGACTCTCTGGGATATATCTGTTTAGGCTGTCTCTGAACCTATATCCTTATATCTCAGTCTCCTGAGTTGGTAGGATTATAGTTGTAAGCCATCAGTGCCCTCACTTTGCTGGTTTCTAGGGATGGTTTTGAGGGTAAATCTCTGGTTTTGTGATACCTCTAAAGCTGCAACACCACTGAGAAAGAATCCTGGGAGAAAAGGTCCTACTATTTAGTAGGAACTAGAAAAGACAAAGGAAAAATAAAAGAGACAACTTTAAGGTTTTTATTTATTTCCTAAGTCATTCCTTCATGGCAGTTTCAGAGTACAACTACCATGGAGAGGCCAAGCTTTCCTGTTCCAAGCCTATTTTTCAGTTAAGTTAAGCACCTTGTTAAACCAGAAAGTCTTGTTCTTAAGTTTCTGAGCTTCTTATGTTTGTCAACTGACATTTATCCCAATGACACAGTTTATAGTAAAATATGGGTTGGGTCACAGTTCCATAAGATGTAATTTTCAATTTGTTTCCAATCCTTATTACTTCAAAATATGTGTGTAAGCTTTTAGAGAAGACATCGTCTAAAGGTATGAGAGATCCTAGATATTGTTCTTTCTTTTTGTGGGTCGTGGGGCTTGAACTCTGGGCCTGGGCTCTGTCCCTGGAGTTCTTCAGCTCAAGGCAAGCACTCTACCACTTGAGCCATAGCCTCACTTCCAGTTTTCTAGTGGTTTATTAGAGATAAGAGTCTCATGGACTTTCCTGCCTGGGCTGGCTTTGACCCGTGATCCTCAGATCTCAGCCTCCTGAGTAGCTAGGATTACAGGCATGGCTGATATTGTACTTTCTTGATCTATCTGTCTGAGGTTTCACATAGGAACTTGTCTTCTGGGATGTGTATTTTTCCCCTCTTCACTTTTTGGCCGCTGGCATAGACCTTCTCGTCAAATTGTCATTCTGTGCCTCTTATGGTCTTCATCACAAGCTGTGTAAGGATTGGGAAGGTACTCAAGATGCTTCATTAACCTCCCAGAATATGCTAGAACTCCCCTCATTCTTCTCAAGGCAGTTTCCTCCAGTTTCCATTGTGCCCTGGCCCAACGGTTGTATTGGTTGGACTTCTACCAGTTACTATTAATTTTGAGTCTTGCTATGAAGTAACTGACAAAACTAAAGAAATTGGTTGGCTTTACCTTAAAGTCTCGGCAACTGGAGTGGAGGATAGAAGGCAATCCCCATTCTGAGAAGTCAGAACTCCCCGACAGCTACTTTCCCTGCTAGGGGCAGGCAGGAGATTTGCTATATTTACTAACGCTTCTCCTCAAACCTCTTAAGATCCAGCACCTGTATCCCCTTTGGGGTGGGCTGCCTTGGGACTGAGCAGCAAAGCCCAAAGTCTCGTTATGGAGTTGCAAGACCCGGATCAACTAGCCTGCGAGAACGAGGGCTAACTGATCAAGACCATACCCACCTCCTCCAGGTGTAAGGAATAAAAACGCGGTCCCGTGTCTGCCACACTCTCTGTGGCGCCTCTATTTCGGATGAGAGGTGCCAAGTTGGGAGTATGTCCTTCACTCCGCTCTTCGCCAGGAGAGGGAGCCGGCGGACGGGCCCCACACCCACCCGGGTCAGAGTGGAGCCGCGACCGCCAAGAGCCCGCCCGCCCCAGCGCCTCTCGGCCCCGAATGGCAGAGCCGGGCTCGGACCATCGGCATCGCCTCACATCGCTCCGCCCCTCGTCGCCCGCCCATTGGCTGCCGCTGGCCCGCGCCCGCCTCCTCCCACAGTCTCACAGACAGAGCAGCAGCCCAAAGCGGGGTCGGAGGTGAACGGCCTGAAGTAACCCCGGCCCTGGTCACCTCACGAGGCTCCGCCGCTGAGGTGGGAGGCGGGGGGCGGGGGGCGGGGAGGGGGCGGGGCGAGCCGGCTTTCTGAAGTCCCGCCCCGTCCCCGCCCCTCCCCGTGCGCCCGGCTGGCCTGGTGCGCGCCTGTCAGCCATAGCCGGAGCCACCGGCTTCTCCTCCCGCCCAGCACGCCTGCCACTCGGGGGCTCGATGACCGCCGGACCTCGGACGCCGCCAGTCTGAGGTGAGGCGAGGACCCACCAGAGCCCGGGACCCCGAACGCGGAGAAGCTGAGGCAGGGGAGGGGTCGCGGCCGGCCGGGGCCCGCCTCCTAGCCTCCGCCCGCACGCGGCCCGGGCTTCATCCGGTCCAGACCGGGGACCGGGCTGCTCTGCCTTCTCCGCAGCTCCGGGGCCTTGAGGTTCCTTTCCTCCAGGCCTCGGAGGAAGCCGGGGGGTTCAGACCCTACGACGGAGGGGGACGGGGAGACTGCCCCCTCGTCCCACCAGACCCGGAGGAGTCCGGCGGGGTCTGGTTCCTTCCCGTGCGGTCAGTGCTCGGGTAGGGAGAAGCCCACGTGGGAGGGAGAGGCGGTGTTGCGGGCTGGGTGTGGATGCTTGGAAAGTCTTCCTCGCGTGCGGAGCGCGGCGCGGGGCGCGGAGACTCGGCTACTGTTGCTCTCACTGTGTCTTTGTATCGTGGTGGAGAGCCAGGGCCGGGCGTGCTGCCCCTTGGCCAGTCCTTGCTCGCAGGGTTTTAGCTTTTCTGTGAGGGACGTAGTAAGTGTACTGCCTGTTGTTACTCTCCCTAATTAAGGGCCGCTGTTGGGGAGCAGCATATAGGAAGGTGATAGGAGTTGAGGCTAAAGATTGCGATCTTCCCCAGGTCTTAGTCAACGTAATTTTTGGATTTGGAGAAAGTGGACATCAATGAGATCAGGTCTAAAAATCAAGAACTACTTGGGCCTGGTCGGAATTGTAGAAGCAAATAAGAATATAACTGCCCCAATAGGAGAAATACTTCAGCGTCCTGTGTTTTGGTTTTGAAGTTTAAGATTGAAATGAGACGAGTCTAAGATTTCCTTATTCCATTTTTACTTAAGCAGTGCTTCAGAAATGTCTCAATTCAGAGAATAAACCTAATAACGTGCATGAATTTAAGTGTCAGAAGTTGCTTTGAGAAGATGGTTTCCTTTGATTATCTCCCTCCCCTATCCCATAGTAAAGACTGAGAAACACCTGTTTTTCTCTCCCCCAGGGGATGAGGAATACTTTAATTTGTTTCTTGCTTCCTTATGGGAATGCCCAGGACGTCTGTGTTGAGGATTTCTTTGTTTTCCATTTGATATGCACTTTTTGGAAAGCATTGTTAATATAGCAGAGCCACTTTTAGTATAAGGTATCTGTTTGTTACAAAATACCAAATCGTTTCCAATTTCTTTTGTCTCCATTTCTTTATTTCTAAATACTACTTAATGCCTAACAGGGGAACTGATGTAAACTCCAAAATAACTAACTTTGCCACCTGGACATATAAAGAAAAGTCAGAGGTAAGGTATTAATGTATGGAGCTTCTTGTGTTTACTATGATTGTGTAAGACTCATTTCATCATTACAGTATAGAAATAACTCATACATAAGAGTAAATTGTTTTAAAATGAGAGGAAAAGTTGGAAATGTGACATTGTGCTTAATGAATTTATTCACTGGAGAGAAAGGTAATTACCTTCTGACTTTTCTAAAGTGCTGTGAACAGGTTCAGGTGTAGAACCCTCTGTTACATCTTACACTACAGTATCTCCTTTTCTATGAGTGACTGGGGAAAATTTAAAATCTGTTACTAAGACTGGTTTAACAGAACTCAAGGTAATTTTTGTTTTTTTGCTTGTTTTTGTTTATTTTGAGGAAAGGTCTTGCTCTGTTGCCCAAGCTGTCTGGAACTTGCAATCCTGCTTCAGCCTTCTCAGTGTTGGGATTGCAGCTGTGCATCACCATACCAGGCTTTTTTCCCCTCGCAGTGCTGAGGATTGAACATGATTTATGCATGCCAAGCAGGCGTTCTTCCACTGAGCTACTTCCAGATCATGTTTTTCTTTAGTTAAAAAATGTTTTTATCTTGTCTTGGTTGAGGAAAGAAGTAAATAAAAATAAAGGTTTGGAATTTAGTATTTTAACTTGATGCCCAGAAATTATTTTAGTAATTCAGAAAAACAAGTAGTCATGTCATTAACACATTTCTAAAGATAATTTGGGAAGGTATATATCAAGTGTCTTTTCAAATGCTGAAAAAGTGTGATTATGAAGAAATTTTGATAAACATTGTATGACTCACTAGCTGATTAAAAACCCGTGGGCTGGGAAGGTGTCTCAGTGGTAGAGTGCTTGCCTTGCATGCTGAGGCCCCGGGTTTGATTCCTCAGCACCACATAAGCAGAAAAAGGCAGAAGTGGGGCTGTGGCTCATGTGGTAGAACGCTAGCCTTTTGAACTGAAGAGCTGAGAGACAGTGCCCAGTTCCAGAGTTCAGACCCAGGACCCCCAGGACTGACCAAAAAAACAAAACAAAACAACCTGTGTGTCAGTGTGTGTGTGCCTGTGCACGCATGCATGTGTGTGCACACACGCATGCATGCTGGCATTGGGACTTGAACTTAGTGCCTGAACTCTCACTTGGCTTTTTTGCTCAAGGCTTGGCACTCTAACACTTGATCCAAAGCTTCAGGGCTTTTTTTTGCTGATTAATTGGAAATAAGAGTCTCACAGACTTTTCTGTACTGGCTAGCCTTGAACTTCAGTCTTCAGATCTCAGCCTCCTGAGTAGCTAGGGTTACAGGCATCAGCCACCAGTGCCCAGCTGTTTAAAAACTCTTAATAACTTTTGTGGTGGTCTCCATTTTCAGATAATCATTTTTGGTCATTCCTGGGGCATAAGCACAGGGCCTGGGCACTGTCCCTGAGCTTATTTTAAGCTCAAGGCTTTTTTGCTCTACCACTTGAGCCTCAGGCCTTTTCTGTTTATGTGGTACTGAGGAATCAAACCTAGGGCTTCAGTGCATGCTTGGCAAGCACTCTACCACTAAGCCACATTCCCAGCCCTCAGATAGTCTTTATTGATCTTCACTTTAACAGATTATTGCTTAGCTACTTTTTGTTTCTTTAATTTTTACAGAACTTTAGTGCATATTCCTGGCTTTACTTCAGTCTCATGGTCTATTTGAAGGCAGTAGTGATGGGTAACTTGACAAATAGTATTACCAAGATTTTACACTTATACAAAGGGTGTGCATCTGAGTTGGCTTTAGTTCTAACAAGTTTGGCCAATTAGTCTCAGTTCAGTGTACTTTTAGGATTCAGTTCTCTCTCTCTCTCTCTTTTTTTTTTTTCTTTTGGGTCCAGTCGTGGGGCCTGAACTCTGGGCCTGGGCGCTGTCCCTCAGCTCTTCAGCTCAAGGCTAGAGGTCTACCACTTGAGCCACAGCACCACTTCCGGCTTTTTTCTTTTTGCTTATGTGGTGCTAAGGAATGGAATCCAGGGCCTCAGGCATGCAAAGCAAGCACTCTACCACTGAGCCACCTTCCCAGCCCCTCTTTTTTTTTTTTTTTGGGTCCGGTCGTGGGGCCTGAACTCTGGGCCTGGGCACTGTCCCTCAGCTCTTCAGCTCAAGGCTAGCACTCTACCACTTGAGCCACAGTGCCACTTCCGGCTTTTTTCTGTTTGCTTATGTGGTGCTGAGGAATCGAACCCAGGGCCTTGAGCATGCAAGGCGAGCGCTCTACCACTGAGCCACCTTCCCAGCCCCTCTTTTTTTTTTTTTTTGTCAGTCACGGGGCTTGAACTCTGGGCCTGGGCGCTGTCCCTGCCCTCTTCAGTTCAAGACAAGGGCTCTATCACTTGAGCCACAGTGGCACTTCTGGTTTTCTAGTGGTTTATTGGAGATGAGTCTTATGGACTTTCCTGCCCAGGCTGTGATCCTCAGATCTCAACCTCCTGAGTAGCTAGGATTATAGGCGTGAGCCACTGGTGCCCGGCTGATTTAGTTCTCTTACCAATTTATTACTTATTCAAGCTACTATTATACCATTGAGTTTCAGGATTTTTTTTTTTCTGTTGTGGGGCTTGAACGGCCTGAGTGCTGTCCCTCAGCTCTTCAACTCAAGGCTAGTGCTCTACCTCTTGAGCCACAGTGCCACTTCCGGTTTTCTGGTGGTTTATTGGAGGTAAAAATCTTTTTGACTTTCCTGCCTGGGCTGGCTTTGAACTGCAAATCTCAGATCTCAGCCTCCTGCGAGCCACCGGTGCCCAGCGAGTTTCAGGACATTTAAAGAAGGCAAAAGAAAAGTGACGTCAGCAGGAAGGGATGTAATAACCAAAGATTAGTGCCCCATATGATCCCATATTCCAGTGATGCTATTTGATACTCACATACTATCCGTGCAAGCCATACATAAGAAACTACAATAATATTTACTGTTCTATGACATTGGGAATTGAAATTGAATGGATATACTAATTATGAAATGGTCATTCTAGATAGCGTAAGCTTGTATAAATGAACTCACAAAGTTTTAAGTTTGAAAAGTAGGCTCAGAAAGCTATGTGTAGTCAGGACTAGGCTCACACCTGTAATCCAAACTACTAAGGAGACTTGAGATCTGAGGATCTCAGTTCAAAGCCAGCATAGGCAGGAAAATCCATGAGACTCTGTTGTTTTATTTTTTTGGTCGGTCATGGGGCCCGAACTCTGGGCTTGGGCACTGTTCCCTCAGCTCTTTAGCTCAAGGCTAGTGTTGTACCACTTGAGCCACAGCGCCACTTCTGGTTTTTTCTGCTTATATAGTGCTGAGGAATCGAACCCAGGGCCTAACGCATGCAAGGCAAGCACTCTACCACTGATCCACCTTCCCAGCCCCTCCATGAAACTCTTAGCTCTAATTAATCACCAAAAAGCTGGAAGTAGAATTGTAGTTACAATCAAATGCTAGCCTGGAGCAGAAAAAGCTAAGGGACAACCCTTAGGCGTCAAGTTACAGCCCCGTATGGGGACCTAAGTAAGTAAATAGCTTAAAAAATTTCTTTTTTCTTTTTGGGGCTGCTCCTGGAGTTTGAACCTTTTTTTGCTCAAATCGAAAATGCTCTACCACTTGAGCCACAACTCCATTCCTGGCTTTATCGAAAATGCTCTACCACTTGAGCCACAACTCCATTCCTGGCTTTTTGTGGCTAATTTGAAGATAAGAATCTCATAG